AATCGTCTGCTCTACTCAAACTGTTTACATACTTTTTCAAGATACATTTTTTGTATAAACACAGACATCCATATGGCGCTCAACTGTGCCCTAATTCCTCTTCAGAAGCTGATCTATTCACATGTTTGTGTACAAGCATTGAGGACAAGAGTACAGCAGGCCTTGCATATATAAATGCCATCATCATTAAATGGTTTTAATGCCATTTAGAGAATATAAAGAGAATGTAACTGAAAAAATAAAGAATAGACACAAACTTGGGATGCATTTAATTTTTTAAAAATTCAATGCCTTCATGTATACTTGAAAAGAAACAAAGCTGATAGGCATTGATGAGGTTAGAAATTTAATTAATTTATTCTTGCTTATATATTTTTTTCAGTCGTTTTATTGTTAAAGCTTAATATTTACTAGCATTTTTTTGCATTTTATTGTAGTAAATGTTTTAGTTAATGTAAATGCGTGTGCAGGACATTGGCTCGGAAATTTCCTGATGGTACACAGGTGGTATAAATGTAGGGAGGATACAGTTTAGTTATTTTGTCAATAAATATCAGTGTTTAATCACTATAGACTGAGTGACACATAACGGAAATCCATGGTTTGCCCTCAAATGCCTCTCATACAATGAACAATACACGGTATGTTACTATGATTTCATCCATGAATCTAGATATGGACTGTCTAAAGCATTGGATGCAGGTGTCAGAGGGTGTGATTGCAGATGGATGCTGTATTTTGGTGATAGTGAACCTCCTTTCTCTTGCCTTTATGAGGGTGTTGTCTCCTCAAACGTACATGATTAATGTACTCTGGGCTTTAGCCAGACTCTGTTGTGCAACACAGACATGGTCTATTGACTGTATCTGAATCATGCAGATATCACGAAAGGGCTGCTTAAACTCATGTGAACTGCTTTATATTGTGATGGTTGAAATAGAATCATATTTCTCTACTTGCCCTAACCTTTTCTCTTTTTTTGCAATCGACAGCTTACTAATCCTTGGATGTGTGCAAGACAGGACAGTCTCAGTCACGTGGAACAACACACGTTAACATTTAGATTGACATACCTGAAACACTGCAGATATTCATTACAGTTAATGAAAATGCTAAATTAATTGGCAAAAGTTGAATTAATTTTGTTTTGTTCTACAGTTGCGCAATGATTATCTGATCCAAGTGTCAATGAAAATAAATCGATCAGCAGATGATTTACTATTGTGGTGTTTCCTTTAAAATATTGTGACATAACATACATTGTATTATAATCTCTGATTGCTTTCCTGTTTATTTCAGTATTTTAGATATTTATTCAAAATGAAAGACTTTGGAGAAAGAAAGAAAGAAAGAAAGAAAGAAAGAAAGAAAGAAAGAAAGAAAGAAAGAAAGAAAGAAAGAAAGAAAGAAAGAAAGAAAGAAAGAAAGAAAGAAAGAAAGAAAGAAAGCATGTTATTTAGCACATACACACCATTTCATTTGTAAACTTGTTTGACCTCACAGTGATACTATCCTTCTCACACATGGGACTGCAGACTTTTCAAAACAGTCTGTCTGACACTGTTGTTCTTCATGAAAATGACCTGCACGTCTTGCATGCGAGGTCAGAGAAGGACAGATTCAAGCTAACTTGATATGTCAACGGTTAAAGGAGAACTCCGGCGCAAAATGAACCTTTGGTCTAATAAAACATTAGTACCTAGTCAACCGTTCTCTGAGATTTGTTTTCATGATAATCGAATGTAAAGAGTTTTATCTCTAAAAACTGTTTAGTGTATAACGCTAGTAATGGGGGCATTTAATAAGTAAAAAGAAATCGCTAGTTTATACCACTAACAAGGCTCAAAATAGCCCCACACGAACACAGTAACATAATGAGGGTCTCTACATGCAAAACGAAGCATTGAGAACTTTGTAAGTGTACAGACCGTTTAATAAGAAGATATTTTATGAAGACAGTCCACTTCGTGTATACAGACAGGAGCCATCTTTGGAAAACAGTCTCGACTAATCAAACCACGAACGACGTGCTAAGTGAGCTGAACTGTGAGGTTCAGTGAACTTCTGAACTGTATATGCAATGCATTCTCATCCCAAGGCATCACTAAATGACAATTTTGACCATGCTTCAATATTCGACGCTTTAGGCACCCTTTAGCGTCAGTTACCTGACGCGATCCTAGGGCGTCATCTTACTGACGCTTTACCTTTAGCGTCAGTTAGATGACGCGGGTAGGTTTAGGTCTGGGGTAGGAAGCGTCAGTTACATGACGCTAAAGGTAAAGCGTCAGTAAGATGACGCCCTAGGATCGCGTCATGTAACTGACGCTAAAGGGTGCCTAAAGCGTCGGGTGTTCATGGTTTGATTAGTCGAGACTGTTTTCCAAAGATGGCTCCTGTCTGTATACATGAAGTGGACTGTCTTTATATTTATCTTCTTATTAAACGGTCTGTACACTTACAAAGTTCTCAATGCTTCGTTTTGTGTTCGTGTGGGGCTATTTTGAGCCTTGTTAGTGGTATAAACTAGCGATTTCTTTTTACTTCTTATATGCCCCCATTACTAGTGTTATACGCTAAACAGTTTTTAGAGATAAAACTCTTTACATTCGATTATCATGAAAACAAATCTCAGAGAACGGTTGACTAGGTACCAATGTTTTATTAGACCAAAGGTTCATTTTGCGCCGGAGTTCTCCTTTAAACTGTAAAGGCCTGTTCACACTAAGAGCGATAGCTGTAAAGATGACTAGGCTATAACGATAACTATATTACTGTCCACACCAGCGGACGATACCGTTAGGTTTATTATATGCGCGCTGCAGTTTTTTTCATCTGCAGCTTTAAATGCTTGAGCTCTTTACAGAAGGATGGATTCTGATTGGCTGTCATTGTTTTTTATCTTCATCAGTTGGGGGAAAATCGTTCTACTTGTCATTACCAACACAACGCAACGGAACTTGTGACCAAAGTTGGCTAATCATGTTTTTGGTAAATGCACCCTTAAAAGTGATTCTAAAAATAGCTATCGTTTCTCTGTTCTGTTGTCGTTATAGTTGTGGTGTGGAGTGGGCTATTCTTATAGGCTAGTTATTTACAACGATTTTCAGAACTATCTTTATCGTTATCGTTTTTGGTGTGAACAGGCCTTAATTGTTAGGCTACTTTATTAATATTAAATATGTAGCTATTATTTAATAATAATAAATCGTGTGTAATTTAAGTGTTTGTGTTCAAACTTTATTTTAACCTTCAATATTAGGCTATAGTAGGCTAATGTAGCCTATTAACTTACTTCTGTCCTATAGTTTACAGCATTAGTTGAGTGAGATTTTTTTTTTTTCTTGAGAAAATTTGCCATGTACCTACTGTACCGATAACTAAGCTATCCAAAAATAATCAAATTGAATCGGAATCGCAAGCTAGGATCGAAATTGAATTGAATTATGAAATTTGTGTCAATATCCAGCTCTAGTTTAAAAAAAAAACCCATTAAATTAAATTTAGGCTACTGAAAGTCACCCACTCTGGGATTAGAGTACTAACTTTTATAATTACATCTATGTTTCTACACCAATTCATTTTTTGAAATAGGCTATTAACATTTAGAAATGGTTGCCGTCATAACTTTTATAAAAACGGATTTATTCAAACATATTCAAGGCCTACATTGGGCCTAAATATTGAAGAACAGTAAAAATGATAATGAATAGGCTATGTGATTTGGTGCATTTATTTAACAAAATGCTTCTATTGTAGCTGTAGTCTCCACACTGAATGGCTTTTCTGAGGTACATGCAACAATCAAGTGACATTGTTTGCAAGCTGTTTTATTAATGTATTTCCGTGGATGAAAGTTGAAACACTGAATGGGCAATAGATGAGACAAGGATTTTTGTAAGTTGTAGCCAACTGATTCTTTTAACATACCTTCTGGTGTTCATTCATGTTTATTTCGTGCTGTAACTAGCAGTGAATCGGAAGGGATGATCAGTTCACGAGCGCTTCGTGCTTCACATGATCTGAGGCGACAGCGATCTGCTACGTCACGTTAAAAAGCGCCAAAACGGTATTTATTGTTTGAATTATGTAAATAAAACGGACATAATTTGAAATCTGACCCTTTGTTTCATATCAAAAGAAACAAAGTACAACGCTTATTATGATTTATTGGATGACAGGCACCGTATTGTCCCGTTCATTCATCAGTTGAAAACAGTAGACCAAAAGATGATTCTTGGGATTTAAGAGGCGGTTCATAAAAAATAAAAAACATATTTAGTAAGTATGACGTCAGTACGAGATTTTGGTGTTGGTTTATCTAAAGTTGTATTGATTACGTTCATGTACTGAGGGTATTTTCATTGGCTTTTATCTGTATGACAGGTCGTCACCTGTCAAGCCATTATCCACAAAGAATCTTTTGATCATTGCTTCCTTTTAAATTATTGCCTTTAGGTCATTAATCTCCATACTTTGAGTTGACAAACCCTCTTAAGCTTTACACTTTTGCGGTTAGATAGTCTCAGACACAAGTCTTTTTTTTTTTCTAAAACCTACTCTAACTTTATTAAACATCTATTTTTCTGTAAAAGAGAGTGACTTTTAGAGTGGATTTAATTTAGGCATTGGATTTAAACAGTCAACACATGTTAAGACAGTGCACTATACAGTGTATTTTTCATGTGATGTAAATAAACAAGAACTTTAATCAGTGACAAATGCTAACAGAAAAACTTCCCAAACTAGAACTCCTATTTCAAAGCATTTACAGTGGACCGGCAGTAAATTAGTAGCCTATTTAAGCACTTAAAAATGCATGATGCCTTTGCATTAGATAACAAATATTACACCAAATTAATATTAAGCGGCATTCAGTCATGCAAAACGTTTCATTAATGGAAGATTGTTAGGCTTTAATTTAGGCTATACAATTAAAAAGTCATTTGGACACTTTCTGACTTTGTCAAGTGTTAGTGGAATATGTGCATCCACTTAATCTGTTTTCAGATGCCACTTTTTGGTTTGATAGTTTGTTATCTAAAGCAATGCAACTCATAGATTTTAAGTGTGCATTACATTTGCACTGTATAACAGGACAGTTATGACAACAAATGAGAGAAACTCAGTGAATTGTCTTTGCTTTGGCTTAATGTCATTATTGAAATGATTGATAATGAGCATCACAAAATCGCATTCCTCTTTTGGTTTCATGGTCGTTCTACAGTTTATGATGTTTTCTGCCTTTATAATCCTGCTGGAGGAATAGCATTGTTTGCCGTGTTCTCTTCTGCATAAATGCACTTTGGCTGTTCGTGTCTCCACAGTCACTTTCTAGCTCTGATAAATCAGTACATGCCACCGCTTAAATTGTTTCCTGAGATCCACGGCTGGAAGCAGAACATATAAGGATAGCACGGGTATGACTGGTATAAGGGAGGAACAGACGGACTGGGAAGCTCCTCTGCGTTATATTGCCTCTGGTCGTTTCTCACCAGTACTTTCACTGCCACTCTCTTTGCCAGGGCTGTTGTGGGAGTCGTCGCGAGCTCGGCTGCCATTTGTCGCCGTTTAGTTTTGTATCTCCTGTTCTGGAACCAGATCTTCACCTGTGTCTCGGTCAGTTTGAGCGCTCCTGCCAGGTCGGCCCGTTCTGGGCCAGACAGGTACCGCTGCAGGTTAAAGCGGCGCTCCAGCTCGTACACCTGTGCATGAGAAAACGCTGCCCGGGACCTTTTCTTGCTCAATTTGGAGTGGTTCTCTTCAAAGTTGCAGCTCTGTGGTTTCTGTTGGTCAATGTTGTGATCTGTATAGATGGACAAAAACAGGTTTAGGCTCTGTTTTTGCTGTAGACCATGTGATGAATTAACTAATAGTCTTACAATTGACCGTCAGTGGCCATTTAATAAGCCTATCAATGTGGACTGGTGTGTATTTGAGGAGTTATTTACTGTAAAACAATGAGGATTTCTTTTAGAGGAGACCAGGGAGTGTTCTTTGTTTCAACTTTAACTATGTTGAAATACTAAATGTTGATATATTAAATATATAAACTGTGTAAATTAATGTAAAGTACAAAACTTGCAGTTTTTTTTAGTCCAACTACACTATAATTTAAAACATGGGTATTATAAAAGTTGTGATTTAATTTATTATGATTTATTATGATTTATTAGCCTCCCATTTAATTTTAAACACTTTAATTCAAAATGGTCACAATGTTTTTTGTAACTTTAAACAGCAAATAAAATTGGAAACAAATTCAGAAATACATAAAACATAGGCTAACAATTAAAAATCATAACTAAAAGAGTTTGTGTATCAATATTTCTTGTTTTGTTTTAAATGTGACAATCTTGTTTTAGCAAATTAAACAGGAGAATCTGCTTAAGTTGGTGATACCAGTTCTGTCCTTTAATGTTGACCAAAAAAAAGCATACATCTAATTATATTTCTCTTTGTAAAAACATTTACAGATAAAACAAAAACGGTTTAAAGCATAATTTCATGTCTGTATTATAGTTATACAGCATGTGAATTAGCAGTTGCTTTTATTTATTTATTTGTTTCTATTGAACCCATAATATTAAACAAAAATAAGACAGTGTATATACTAGGCTATATATTTGCCACAACTCGCGATGTTTTTTAGGTTTTAATAGAGGTTAGCTTTTGCTATTATACGTATTAGAATTGTATTATCTGCATTTTTTTAATGTTTGTGCCGTTTTGAATGAAAATTTTGAAACTGGAATTGAGTGATGCGTACTATTATTATTTTTTATATCACAATAAATTAATTCATGAAGTGTAAAATGTCAGGTAGGCCTACTGGCAACAGCACTCTTTGCATTGACGTTAATGTACATAATTCATGCATAGCTATGTTTTTTTCTAAAATGTAGCAGACAAATAGGTATAGCCTACATTATATTTTGTACGTATAGTAAAGAAGAAAAAAAACCGAGTTACAATTTTGAAACCAAATGTTTTACAACGCTGCCCACTACCCGTATGCAATAATACAACGTATAGGCAAGGCTATACGTGAAGTTATTTTAATGTCTCACCGTCTCGTCTTTCTAGTGAATTGTCTTCTCCTCCTGTTGACTCTTCCTCGCATGAATGTTGGTCAGAGGATGAAGAGTCCAGCACGAGCACACAGGAAGAAATGCTCTCAGCTCCAGTGTTCCCAGCCGGCAAAGATGAGCTGGAACAATCCCGCACTTCTGCGTATTCCTCATCAAGACGGCAATGTTTCTCGCAATCAAGTCCTCGGTTTAATATGTTGTGAATGGAAAATGAATTGCGGTTGTTCGCCATTTAAAACATTCACAAAACCTGCTCGTCAATTTCCGATGACCTGCAGTTTTTGCGCTTCTATCTGGGAAGCTCCTGCGCTTTCATGGCGATGGATTAGTCCACAGTATAATGGGTTTTCCACTTTGCGTGTCATTTAATTGTTGCAAAACGTCTTCTGACCCAATCAACAAGCAAAGTGTCAGAAAATGTCATGTGCGCATCAGTCCCCTCTGTTCTCTTTCCAGACGCGGTGCCAATGGGCTTTCTGGAGCACTTCGCTCCTCCCTCTGAAACAGACGTGTAGAAATAGAAAACCTATCGAAATCGGTTTACTGCCACATGCTCTTACTGGCTTTGTTAGTTTGTTTGGACATTGTTGTGTTTCAATGACAAAGAAGGATGTTCGAGTCTATAAAAATGAGAAATGTTTTTTAGATGTATTTAAAAAAGAAACAGTGTTTATAGGCTATATAGCCTACATCCTTAGTATTTATAATATGTTTTTGAAAAACATTTATAACATTTTCTAAAAACAACAACAAAAAGCAACAGCAAAAAAACAACAACTCTCAAGTTATTAAAAAGTAGCCACTAAAATATTTGAATACAGCGAGTCTGCACATCAATATAAAAAATAAAAACTTTTCAAACATACTTTTCAAGATTTTATAAACTGTAGATTAGCTACTCAGTTCGACATGAAAACGTGCTTTAATAACTATGGTCAACATAAACGTAATGACCTTGACAAGCACATGTCTAAACTAAAGGAAAGCCTCTCTGTTGTAAAAGACTGCAAAATGGCTTCTTGCTTGATGGTTACGCCGCCACACTGACTTTTACAGGCTAATTGTTCAAACTTGTGTCAGCCGAATCAAACAGCGTATGCCAACATTTTTATAGAATTTCACAGGATATTAATGCTTGAACAATTAACAAAGACAGTATTGAATTTAAGAATTTAATGTTAATTAGAAGATGTGCAATCATTCATTTTGAATGAATTTCATAATTTATGTATTTTACACTTTATATATATATATAGTGTAAAATACATAAATTGTGAAATGCATTAATTTGTGTATAGCCTGTGTACATCTCAAAAAACAGCACTTAATATTTCATGTTTTGTTATTTGTTAATGTTCAACATTTACATTGCTCAGATAAAGTTATTCGATGACTAGAATTATTCGAATTCTTTCATTTTATTCAGGCTTTCGTTTCTCATCTGATGTAATGCAGTTTCAGGCATGTTCATTTTTTTATTTTATTTTTATTTTGCATTCATTATATAAGCTGTTAAAGGCAATTAGATGTGTATGCTACTTTAATAATTCAAATTATGTTGTTCCAAAACACATTTGTGACCCTGGATCACAAAACCAGTCAAAAGTAGCAAGTGTGGCAATAGCCAACAATACATTGTATGGGTCAAAATGATTGATTTTTCTTTTATGCCAAAAATCATTAGGATATTAAGGAAAGATCATGTTCAATGAAGATATTTTGTAAATTTCCTACCGTATATATACATATATATAACATTTATTTTTGTGATGAATGCAGCACAATCGCGAACATAAATGGACAACTTTAAAGGCGATTTTCTCAATGTTTAGATATTTTTGCACCCTCAGATTCCAGATTTTCAAATATTTGTATCTCGGCCAAAAAGTGTCCTATGCTAACAAGCCATACATCAATGAAAAGCTTATTTATTCAGATGATGTATAAATCTCAATTTCAGAAAATTGACCCATGTGACTGGTTTTGTGATCCAGGGTCACATTTATTCTTTGAAACTGAATATATATATTCCTTCTGTAGAACTGAAACTTTTTCAGCTTTTCTTTTCCCTCGAAATGCTCTTTTGTAAAATGCAAACGTTATTTTATTAGTTTAGCTTTTTAGAATAGTCTACACTGATCATACACTAGCTATAGCCTAATCAATCATGTTAATGTAATGAGCTATTTAAATAGGCAGAGAAACGTAATTTATTTTATAAACTTGCTTTATTGGCAGTGGAATTTTACTTTTGCATCTTAAATTCAAGAATATGTTTTTTATTATTGCTCTAAATGCTTATTTTTCGTATATTCTAATTTGTAAAGCACATAAAATGTGGGTTTCGATTTCAAATGTCTTTCGCAAAAACGCTCTTTATATTGTTGTTTTTTTTAACTCATACACGTTTTGGGAAATCTCTCTCGGTTCCTGGCAGGAATTCTAATGAGTTACAGAGAATAGAACATTTAGGTCTAGTTTACAGCAAAATTCCTATGAATGTGCGTATTTCGATATGACATTATAAGGTAGATCTCAGTTTGTGAAATGATTTTCAAAGCTATTGTTCTCCCGTTAGTGTTTCTGAAATACGATTGTAGCGCCTCCATGTGGCCAGCTGGTGTCCATCTTGTTTGAATATCTGGTTGACCATAGAATCTAGCTATGTTCCAAGAAATGGATTTTCCTGCATTCCAAAAACGCCACAGCTTTTTTATTTAAAAAATCGTTTTTGACAACATGCTTGAAATAAAAATGTGACATAGCATAGGTGTATAATTGTAGGCTACTGATTATGCTTTTAATTGGGAGTGTTTTTTACTCTGATTTGGAGCTTAGAATGTAGTGCGCTACAGATGCATACCTCGTGTATAAGACATGTGTAAAGGTATAGGCATTTCCGGAGAGGCTAGCAATAGTGAGCTATAGCTTTGAAAGCATGAGATCCCATCCTCCCTTCAGACCGTCTACAAAGCCACAGCTTTGCTACAGTCGAACCAAAAATTATTCAGACACCTTCAACATTTCTCACATTATCACAGTTCGCTATAGTTTAGAAAATGGAAATAAAATATGACAAGACCTCAGACCTCAACCTCAACCAATTACCAAGCAATGCTTAATTTTATTAAGTCTGTGGTGTAAAAAGGTCGCATTAGCGATTAAAGAAAAAACACAGGCAAAACGGTCAGGTCAAAGTGTCTGAATCATTTTTGGTCGCAATATTTTATACATTTTACTGGTAGTCCACTGTATGGAGAATTTTTGGGGTATAATATGTCACAGTTTACTTAATTTTGCTATCCTCACTTACATAAATGAACTATAGTGTCCTGTACCCACTAGTAAAAAAATATCAAAAATTATATTCTGGTGTCTGAATAATGTTTGGTTTGACTCTAAATGCGTATGCAGGGAGCAAACAAAAGCGTCAGGAGAAACGGTGTTAAACTACCTCATGTCTCAAAGCACATAACATTACAATAATATTGAACATAAACAACTTTAAGAGCACTGACCTGCACCACCTGACTGCTGCAGATTCATTTCGGCGTTGATAGTGTTTCCATTGAAACCATAAATTGTTCCGAGTATAATGTCATGGGTTTAAAAATTACTGTTGGCGTGAAGTGAACGCAGCACTTGTTTTGGTTCAGGAGAAACTGTAAAAGGCTGTTTTGGTGCTCGTGCTGATGAAGTGTAATGTCAAGAGTAATGCAGATTGCGCAGAGGTATGAAAATACAGGTTGACAGGCAGGCAGGACATCATATCATTACATTCGGGCCGAAATGATTGGACGGACATTTTACTGTCCTACGCCTTCCACAGGCACATATAAATACATTAAGACCACTTAATTTAGTGATTGCTATCAGTAGGCTATGTGAAGAGTCTGTAGACACCAGCATAACAAAAATGTTTCTGGAACAAATCACCTACCCTAAAAGTTCATTCTTTAAGACAGAAATATGACAAAAACTTGTGGCGCTTGTATATATTTGGTCTAATGTCTCACATACTAATAGCTCACAAACCAAACTAAGCCAGATCTTGTAAGTGGTTCGTGTTTAAAACAACGTTTAACAGGATGCTATTCTTTTGTTTTCACTTCCACCACGGTCAACCAAATAAATATTACTCTGCTTTTGTTTATGTTGAGTAGGTCTAAGCTATATCGCCATATTGGGAGGTCCGAAATGTTGTAGGCCTAAGTGTTTTTCACTCTGAAGAAACATTTTAATTCATCAGGTCAGTTACACGGAAAAATCATCCTGCGTTTGCACATCAGATTCAGTGGCAAAGTTTATTTCTCTACTTTATTTCTCAGAGGTTTCTGAAGAATAAAATGAAAAAAAGTGAAAAAGGTCAACTTTCACATTCGTCATATTCCCAGGACCCTAAATAAAGAATTACAATCATGACAGGTAGGCCTACCTCGTCTTTATTTCTAAACTTCCTTGTATTTTGTGTAAATATTTAACATTCACTAGAGCAAAAAAGTGTGTTTGGAAGGGAGATCGGAAGTGACGTGACCAGCAGGGGGCGCTTTTCACGCTGTAACACCCAGTGGAAAGGTGCTGACAGTATAAATTACATATAGGATAACACTCAAAGCTGTGGTACTCAACCTTTCTGGATTTCTCGTAAGATATGCCATTTATCACACAAGAGATTTCTGACTAAATCAAGACCTGTTCATAGCCTAATAATTTATCTGCAAATGTATTTCCTCCCCATTAAACGCAAATGAGTTGTTCATTATTTATCGTTAAAGTTGAGATGTTTGAGATCAGTGAAATGACAACGGGTTAAACACAACACCCAAATGCTGTGATGTATGCTGCTGTGTTCATCACACACTCACCATTTTTTTCAATTTATAACCATTGGTTTCAATGCTAATCTATGCTAATTGTCATAACTTTAATGTCTTTTAAATTTCACGCAGCTTATTTATTTAATTTCTCCTTTTCCTCCTTAGACAATCACTTGTTTGCCTGGTTTGCAGTTCAGAAGATGAGTCCGTGGCCTTATAGCTTTGACCTCATGTTCTCTTGAAATAATTATTGTGCTCTAAATCAGCTTTTCCTTCCTTTTCTTATCTATCTACAGTACATATAGATATTTTTCCCCTTCCTAACTGATTTAGATCATTTTAGGTACGATTTCTGTAGTAATAAGCTAACAGGGAACATTCTCAGAACTGTGCTAACGGTCTGGCAATGTTCTCTTAAAGTTATCAACAAACATTTTTCCAGTAACGTTAATAGAACGTTTCTTCAAAGTTATCTCTTTAATAACGTTCTCAAAACGTTAGCACAAAAACAAAACATAGCCTATTACATTGTCAATGCAACGTTTTTCCTCAGACGTTTTAGAGGGACGTTAAATGTTACTTTTTGTTTCAGAATGTTGAGAGAACATTCAAAAATAACAATCCAATAATGTTTTCAAAATGGAATATTCCCTTAACGTTTCATCACAAAAAATAAAATTTAAACAAAAAATCTGGGCGTTTTGAACATTGAGAGAACATTCAGAAACATTTTAGTAAAACGTTCTTAGAACATGTTTTTGTTGGCTGGGATAACAGTGAATAAGTTCAGAATTATAAAACAGGCTATAAATATTATTAGGCTATAATAATATTGGTAACACTTTATTTTACCGTGTCATTTTTACATGTAGCTACTATAGTAGGCTAATAGGCCTAACTATTAATTATGCATAATTACATGCATACAACTAACCCTAAACTAAAACAAACCTTAATGTAGTTAATATCACTCAGTACTTGAATAATTACAGTGTAACAAAGACGCCTTAAAATAAAGTGTAACCATAATATTTTACATTTTATATGTGGTCAATCCAACAGAGTTACCCTAGCTGATTTTTAACAGCAGATGAAATCTGACCATCTATCTATTTGGCCTATATATAACAGTGACACACTGTTTCGGGGAACTAACCACACCCTCTCCAGATATTCGTCCAGAAATCCTTTCTATAGATTGATATCTGTAGTCCAGCACTCTGTATAGCGGCTCATCCTGAGGCATCGCCGCTGTGTCGCCATGAGTATTTACACTGAAGTGTCTGGCCACTTACCCTGATAGCAGGTATGTCCAATGGGTGCTGTTCATCCTTGCTATTAGTAGAGAGACAAACCCCGGTGACTCTGTTTACTTTTCTATTAATCTTCATTATTAGAGTGGGAGCTCTGGTGAACCCGTGAATGGACTGAAGGATAAACGAGTTACGCCATGCGTAAAGGCCGAACAAATAGGCCTACTTGTTTCAAAGCTTTGTGTTTATTATTACGAAATCAAAATGATGCATTAGGAACTGAAATTCAGTAACCCAAATGAATCACGCCATTTCATCTGTTTTAAATAGTTGTCCTTTAATAATGTTTTTTTTTTTTTGTTATATTATTTTGTATGATCTTATATTGATGTTTATTGATATTGTTTCTTTACTAGTGTGCATCGATGCCGAATTTAGTCCCAAACTTTCTGTTTCCAACGCTAAAATTGCAAAGTGCACTAATGCTGACATGTTTTGTCAGGTTATAAATCGATCCATCCGCGTGGTAACAACCAAATTAACAGTTTTTACTGAAAATTATATGATCAATAAATTATGACAATATGGTTTTACATTGCTTTAACCCTTTAAGTGTCACCCCCCTTTTTTTGAATATACATGAAAATGCACATTTCGAACTTAAATGGTTGTAATTCAAGAATGCTTTGGAATATAGACGTAAGATTGGTCTTGTTTTAAAGAAGACATTTGGCAGATTCTTGTAGAAGTGAAATAAATTAAGAAAGTGAAACAGAAAAAAAGTTATTGAAGTTTGAGTTTATGAAAATGTACAATGTAAAATTTTTAATTATTCATATTTTATATAAAATATATATTTTCAAAACCTGGGCGACTCTAAAACTGCAAAAAAATCAAAGCCAAAAATCTGAACAAGTTGTGTTTCAAATTTTAGGTTGATATCTCAAAAAATGAGCTTTCAGTAAGATTTTGTTTGGGCGCAGTACCAAACTTTTTCACTAGATGACAACCAGACTCCATTACTGCCCATATAAGGGCGCCTCCATTTCCATATGTGTTTTGAGTGATATGAACCATTATTTCCACAATTTTCATACAATTTATGAAGTAGACATCCTATTCAGAAGTAATATGAGAAGTTTGGCAGATTTTGATATGATTTCAACCTCTAAGAAACATAAAAAGAACACGCATGTGCGTTTTAGCTTCCTGCCACATCATATAATTTTTTTCTTTATATAAAAAAAAAAATTCAGACCTTTTTTTTTTTAATAATTGAATGGATGCTATCTTTTGAACTCTTGGAATGAAAACAAACTGAGGTTTCTACCCTTCTTTCATGATTTTTCATGTTCATCACTATTTCAAAATAAAGGTCTAAGAGTATGAAAATATTATTGTTGCAAATTGATAAATTACGGCTCCTCTGTAATTTATTTTGAAAATCAATCACCAAATATGGAAACTAGAGATTGTAAGCTTTCAAATGATATATAGTTTGTCAAGATTAGTCTAGGTTTAGTATAGGATATTACTGTTTTAAAAATGTAAAGAATTTGGGCCCACCGGTGGGCCCGTGACACTTAAGGTTAACTCATCAAAACAAGTTAAGCAATTTTCAACTTTTTTATTAGTTATACAAGATTCAAAAAAAGTTGTAAGTCTGTTTAATGTAATTTAAGTTGAAATGACTTAAACACCTAAGTTGATTGTACTTAAACAATTAAGGCAGCATTTTTTTTTTAAAGTGTAATCAAGTTTAATAAATCGGATTGATTTCATTAAGATTGCACAGTTGAAAGTAATTTTTAAGAGTCAGGATACAGTAAAAAAAAAACATTAATGTAAAAATTTTGCAGTGATTGAAATCTATCGAGATAAACGCTTGTGATTAAACATGATGTGTGTCATAGACTCTCCAGCTACATCCTATTACAACATGCAATGCCTTTTGCAGACAGGCTTTACTTGAGAAGATTGGGACCCGCCATTGGAGAAAGAAAGAAAGAAAGAAAGAAAGAAAGAAAGAAAGAAAGAAAGAAAGAAAGAAAGAAAGAAAGAAAGAAAGAAAGAAAGAAAGAAAGAAAGAAAGAAAGAAAGAAAGAAAGAGTGGGAAAAATGATATATTTAAATCTCCCTGGTCAGCATTGTTTGTTTGTTTATTTGAAACCAATTGCAGATAACCTATTTATTGTGAATTTTTTCTTACTCAAAATATGTCATACCTCAAATGCAGTTAGTCATGCTTATCAAAATAGGCCTACATAAACTTGTATCTTCTTGTCTGACAGGAAGTCAGGTTATTGAAATATCGAATAAAAGCAGTTTTATACCAGCACGATGTTCTCTGCTATAGTGTGCATAGGCTTTCTAAAAATCAAGTTATTGTCGTTTATTTTGTGAACCTTTGTCTTTGAAAAACTGAGGAACAAAAGTGAATGATCGGTTTAATTGTGCGCGTATTAATTTATGAGACGTCCGAGTCTCTCGTTAATATACGAACATATTCAATTGGTATTTAAATAATGTGTTTTGGAGACTTTTGAAATGCGCATTATAATATTTTAATTTATAATCAAATAAAACGTATTTCATACACGTCGTTTTGTTTAAAATACATTTTACCATGAACGAAACACTTTAAATTAATATTTAATATTGCAAGAACATTTTGACTGGTTATTAGGTTATTGCTCATGTAGGCCTATATAGCAATACCATTCGGAGAATGTTGGGGGAAATTTTGTCTGCACCTCTTATTGAAACATTTTCTTTTGTTTGCGTCTTGATTTGTATGTCTTTGATTTCTACCACTCACTCTCTTCTTTAAAAATTAAATGTTGTAACTTAAATGTTCTTTAAAACTAGACTCTTATATAACCGTGTTTCAAATATAGCCTAAATATTTTTAGCAGGACCTTTTAAAAATAAAGTTTACTGTTTTTTATTCTTTCAATGTGGGTTTGCACAAAATCATCACACACAGCGGATTGTCAATATTCGTAACATCTCTTAGGTAATAACTTTTCATCTGTAAGTGCAATGAATGAAAAAAAAAACAAATGTCTCTGAGTATGGATACAATGGTGCCAGTCTAATAGTTAGACCCGCGAATGTTCAGGGAGTATGTTGTCCAAATAGGTGGTCTAAATTGCTATGAATATTCATGTGCATTCGTTCAGCCATCATGGAAAGAAATTCACTCATGTTTATACTGAAAAGGTAGACTATACACGACCCTAGGCCTATAAAACATGGCTAACTTGTGTATATTGTAACGTTGTCATTTATTTACAGACGGCTGGGTTGCAATGGCACTACCATGCCCGAATCCCCTGCAGAGTCCCTTGGCACGCGGACACGGGGGTCCCTTGTGATGTTTGAGGTTGAGAATATGTTCCGAGGTTGTTCAGACTCATGCTCATCAGCGCGTTAGTGGATGTGTTAGCCGGGAGAGGTGGAAGGCTTGGGTATGTACAGCTGTAAGGGTTTGTGTAAGCGGCGTTGTTATAAGACGAATAGCCGTTATATGTGTACGGGCCTGGGTTCACCGCGTACGTGGCGTTGTAATTCTGCGATCCCGTTAAACACGGTTTGCCATCCCGGACCAGGACAGGCACCGCCACTCTCCTGGGCGGCGGCGGGTGATGGTGTCCTGCCATTTCCAGTGTTTTGTCTTGACGCTGTCGCTTGCATTTGTATCTGCGGTTCTGGAACCAAATTTTGACCTGCGTCGATGTCAGTTTCAGGGTACTCGCCAAATGTTCTCTCTCAGGAGCCGATAAATAGCGCTGTTGTTTGAAGCGCCGCTCGAGCTCAAAGACCTGCGCCTGACTGAAGAGCACCCGCGGCTTCCGACGCGTCCTCTGCCGCTGAGCGCGCTCCGTGTCCGAGTGCGCCTCGCCCTCACACTCCGGGGATCTGAGGATGGCACCGCAGCTTTCTAGAAAAACAGGAGACAACAAAGATCCAAAGCGAATCTGGTTAACTCTCACTTAACGTGATTCATACAAGCATTTCCTTGCATAAAAATATAGGCCTATGTATTGCGCATTACACGAGCTGAGTCTGCCTTTATACACAGACCAAATCACCCAGACATTATTTCAGAAATAATGAACAATAAAATAAAATTTAAATTATATTATCAAAATATGTAAAATACAGTCCATAGCTACACTGTAAAAAATATATTTTCATGATTTGTCATCACAACATTTTTTCTTTTGTCAAATCAACATGTGGTTGAGATAACAATTATGTTGAGTTTCTGTTGATTAAACCAATCTCCTTCATTGTATTAACTCTATTTTATTTCAATGAACTTAAAATTTTAAGGCTACCAGGTTACTTTTTTAAGTTAAACCAACAATATTTTTTTACAGCGTAGTAACTTTATCACTACCTTAAATCAACTAGAGAGAGTGCGTGAGTTAGTGCAAATTATGAATATGTGCAGTGGTCAATAGATTAGTCATATAGTGCAATAAATAAGTGGTCAGTCGATGTCATTTATATATATATTTTATATAGGCCTATATTTATGCATACAATGTCTTTGACAGGGTAAACCAAAACACAAAAAAACACAAATATAATACGATCATTCTAAATTTCACAACATGCAATATTCACATTAAATATTAGGCTTATTAAATAATACAGCTTCATCATTATTGTTTAACTTGAATATAATGACACTTTAACGAGGTTATTTGTTTTGACTTGCATTGAAGACGCATTAAAACAGGCCTAGGTTTCAAAGTTGCTTTTTGTACAATCACAAAAAAGTTTTTTCTTTTCTTTTCAAAACCATAATTTAACTTATTTGTCCCATTTTTGTGAAAGGTTGATATGCCTGTTTTATACATTTTAATGCTATAGTCAATGCAAATAATCATTTATGATAAAGCTGCATGATTCATTCCATTTTTAATATTTGTCAAAAATAATAATAACAACATTGTAGGCTAACAAACATAGCTACATTGACGCTTTCAATTATTCTGAATTTCTTCCTATAATATTCAGAGACACGTGCAAATCGAACTCCTCGTGCAGTTTCGAAAACGCAAATTCATTCTCGTCAGTTGTAAAACACAAAATCACCCACTCGTTTCGTGGTCCTCAAGTTCATCTTCAAGTTTAGTGTCGACGTGTCCCAGGCCCGGATGGACGAACATCGGAGGGGAAAGGCTGCTCTCCACTAAACTATCCTGCATGGAGAGAGAGTTCAGAAAAGACATCTTCTCCTCGTTCTCAGAGAAGCCGGGGCTGTCTCCACCTCCGAGAAAACAGGATGATGGTGCCTGAAATCTGTCCTGCAGTTCCGGATGCAGAGATTGAAGGTGTCGAGACTGTTGCTCCAGTTTCAGTATATCCTTCACAGAAAACGGCGTTGATGTAGCCGGGCTCGGAAGCATCATCAGGCGCTGTTGGATTACATCTACAATGTTATTCCTGATTCAACCGGCAGCTTCGAGAAGCAAAGCCCCTGTTGAACAATTGTTTAGATAAGGAACAATTTCAAGTAAACATACCTAAATGTGTCGATTAATCTCCCATTGTGTCATGGCTGCTTGATTTGCATGAAGAGAGGTGAGGACCGCCACTCGTCGGTGTGAAACTGTTGTGTGTGTTTTACTTGGAGTCCGGCAGCACAAGGCAGTTCTTCTGCCCGGTGATGTCACGTTACCGGGGCGGGATGTAATGATCCTTCCTACAATCCACAGAGGAAACGCATAGCCTATACAGTTTCAGCGCCTAATGTCTCACGATACTTTTTCGATATAGCTATACAGTGTAATTACATATCCTTTAAAAAAAAAAAAAAAGTTCTTCAACGGTTCTTATATTCTGAAGAAAAAAAAACATCATAATATCATGAACATGTTCTCTTTTTTTCTTTTCTTTTTTTAGCCTACACAATTTTGAGTTTGTTATACGATTCTTTGGAGATTAAAAAAAGTCTTTATATCACATTATAGTTTTTTGGGGGGTTTTTCAGATCAGTATTGATGATGGTTTTCTAAACTAGAAAAAGGTATTAATGGCACATCCATTTATTTAGGTTCTAATCGGAACCCTTTCATAAGACTGTGTCTGGATAATTCCAGTGTGTCACATGCAAGGTCCTTATGAAAATGTAAATCATGTTAAGTGATTCAGCCATGCTTTTATGCTCAATGCAAATTCATCTGTTCTGCACAATTTAAACAAAAAGCTTTGACCATGTCTAGACTGAAGATGTTGTCTTTACCTACACTCTAAATACTAAAGATTTACATGGTCACCAAAAAGAGTTTTAGCTTGATGCCATACGATAACCTGAAAAGAACTCAAAAAGTAGAGGTGCTTTAAAGAACCCATAAAACTCATCCTAATAACCTATATTATGACATCAAGAGTTTTATGTTATATAATTTCCAATGAAGCATATATACCTCAATACATAACCACCAAAAAAGGTTCTATAGTAAGAAGAGACTGATCCCAAGTTGCTGATGATAATTAAAGAACTATTAACTTATTTGTATTACTTTTTTTTTTTTATGAACGCATCTTCTATGAGTTTTCTCTGGAGTGGACGCTTATCCTGCTGCTACTATTATCCCGTTTAAATCTGACCTGCCCCACACTTGTGTGCCATTAGACAGTCAAGCTGGAGCAAAAACAGCTGCAGACCTTTGACAATTAAGAAGCAAGCGGATTTAAACATAACTTTGTTTGTCTGTGAGAGACAAATGATGTGTGTGTGTGTGTGTGTGTGTGTGTGTGTGTGTGTGTGTGTGTGTGTGTGTGTGTGTGTGTGTGTGTGTGTAAGAGAGAGAGAGAGAGGGGGGGGGGGGGGGGGGCTTAACGTATAGTTCTCTAAAAATAAATAAGGGGGACATAGTGGTCAGACATAATGTTTTTTTGTTTTTATTTTTTTGAGCACAAGTTTTAAGTTCAAAGAAGCCGATTCTGTGTTAATAGAGAATTTTAATCTAATCTTGATTCCAGATGTGGATTCTAGATTTATCTTCTGCATCATCATTATTATTATTATTAGGCTACTGATTCTCGTTTAATTTTTTTTTTTTTTTTTTTTTTTTTTTTTGTCCTTAGAACACAATTCCCTCTTCACTTCTCCAAAGGTTGTACGCATAATAAATAATTCAACATTTACCTTTGGGTTTTGATTACATTTTGCGTAAGTGGGTAGAAATAACAATGATAATTAAACATTGTCATCAATCTAAAAAAAAATGCTGGGTTGTTTCAACCCATGTTTGGGTCAAATACGGACAAACCGTTGGGTTTCAAAATTTAATTAAAAAATGTAAACCAATGGTGGGGGTTGTCCATATTTGACCCATGAAACAACCCAGCATTTTTAGTGTGTCACTAAAAGGAATATTACACATAACCATGTGTCCCACCCCAATCCATCTTGTTAATGGCCGATTTAAACATGACAAAATAGTCTTCATTTCAAAATATTAATCCTCAGCAATTTTGGAGACCCGAGTGCTTCCTTTACGCCTTATAATAAGAAAGAGAAACTGTAGGCCTACGTTTATATATATATATATATATATATATATATATATATATATATATATATATATATATATATATATATATATATATATATATACATATATTCTTTTCTGTATTACCAGCCATGTATCGATCACTTATTGTGAGGAGGGCGCGCAGGAAACCTGTTTGAGGGCGCAATGATGCGCAACGGTGTCTCTCTGAGCTTCTGCTCCGGCGCCAGAGACAAAAGCCTGCCAGAGACTAAGAAGAGGAGAGAAGAAAAGGAAAGAGAGACGAGATTATCTCATCCGTTAGCTATCAACAGTGCTGTTTAGATCAGCTTTGTGTCCTCCCGTCCCAAGACTAATGAGTCAAGAGGAAAGTCGGAGTGGTGGGCTTCTAGCTTTTCTTAAGAACTGATGGCAAGGTACATTATTTTCATGATATTTGCTGTAATTCAGTCTTTAATCATTGCCTTGATTTACTGAAATAGCATTTGATGCTTGCTTGCTGGTTTAGTTGTTGAACAGCATTCTGCACAGGACAGTCGGCTGTATGACACACACATGCTGTTAAATTATTGGTGGACTTACAGGCAGAGGGCCTAACTTTTTGTTTGGATTTGTGATTTATTGCAAGGTTCATGAAAGGCTTTAGATTTCCATCCTCAGAAAGATCAGTTCCAGCTTTTTTTTATCAGCACCGCACTTATCTTATATAGTTTTCAAAATGTTTTTCATGCATCATGATAACTTCATGTGTGCTGAGTGCTGAGTGCTGACCCAATGACAAACACCAAATACATTTTGGTCACGTTTAGATGACAAAACGCGGATTACACAAAAAATAAAAGATTAAAAATGATGTTTAGGCAGGTTTAGGCAGGTACATGAGCTTTGTGTCCGATCACAGGATTTGGATGTTGTCGCGTGTTTTTATCTGATCTTTGCCCCACACACGACTAAAGTGTGTGAGTGTTTTGTCTGGTTAATAGCACCATTAGGATGAGGAGAGTCTCAGTCAAGCATGAAGCCAAGCTGACCGTGAAGAGCGCATGTCTGCACAGGACTCTCCTCTGGGGTCTCCAGTGTCCTGATGGATAGACATATTGATGATATCAACATCGGAAAGTAACAATAACGGAAACGCTTCCGTTTGGTTTATCCAATTATCCGACTTATGTGGCTGTAGTCAGTGGTAATGTTATAATCATCAGTGAGATTAATATTATAAAACAGAATAAGGTCGAAAACAATTACACATAAACAAACACCACATCAAGGTATTTTATAAATTCTCGTTGCGCATGAATTAAATTAAATGTTTCTGTATCAGTTTGGAAAAATATTGGCATCTGTTTTTATATTATAGGCTATTATATTTTATATTATATTATATTATATTTTAACTTCGCTTCGCACACTTAAATTGCGTATTCATCTAAATGAAGTGCAAAATTATTATTACTGCAATACATTACAACGAAAGTAATTTCAAGGGTCAGATCAGAACAACTGCGTTTTCACTTTTTACAATATCGCATGCCTTAATGGGTTGGGTGATATAGTTTTTACGACTTTTTAAAATTGAAATGATAAAATGACCTTTAGCTACATGCATATCTTATATTTATTTAACTATTTTGAGTATTTCATATCTTATTATCATGCCTATTCATTTTATCAATTTACTTGTTTGCAGGATATTATATAATTTTAAATGTTCAGACAGTTAATTCTATCTGTAAAAAACACATTTCCTTAGCATATAAGTAAACGATTTATTGTCAAGATATTGCTGCTCCTTACCGTTTATTGTGCTCTATTTGTTGTCAGTTTTATGTTCACTCTTGGAGTTTTATTTTGGTTATAATTTCCCTTTCCATGTTCGAGTGCAAATATGATTTATATTGTAGGCTATTCCTTCAACTATAGTGCGGCACAGCATACTCGTATAAAACATCTTTGTCCACTAATTGAATGCTGTCATGCATTTATCTTAAATTCCCCAACCCTCCAAAATGTTGATGGTGCATGCTTCAGTGTTTAAGCATCAAAGTTTAATTTTAGTATTTAATAAAAATAAAAATAAAACATACTGCACCCAAACCATAGATACTGGTTGCGTGCCGATGCCAGTCCTAAAAAAAAATAAAAAAAAAGTTATAAGCCTATGTTTATATGAAGGAAGAGCCTGTTTCCTGGACCTAACAAAACCCAGGCCTGAGCACCATGACAGTGAGGCGGTCAGAAGAGGGAGGGAGAGGGCAATAGATCATCTTCATCTGGACACTGACTGAGGTTAGATGTAGAGGTACCATAAGTGGGTCAAGGGCCTGCGTCTTTTCGGACCTTCAACTGCTCATTGACATCACAACATTCTGTGCAAACTCAAATCCAGCGAATGCTGTGAACAGCAGGAGAGTGTTTAGGCTCACATCCAAAGTCTGTGAGAATAAAAAGTGAATTCATGTTTATGAGTTTTGACTCGAGTGAGAATATGTTTTGATGAATATCTGCTTTGTATGAATATAACTCAGTGTTTAAAATTCATAGCTATTTTAGGTTTTGTCGAATTGGTGGGTAATTCCTATGAACACATAGCCCACGATCCCATTTGGACAAGCTGATGTTCATGCCATGTTGTAGGCTAATTACCATATTCTGAACTGTAAAAAGCCGATCAAGTGCTTGTAGAACTTGTAATTACAACGTGAAAATTCATAATTTTATGAGAGCTACGACTTGTACCACCTGACCACTGCGGATTTAAAGTGTGTTTGACTTGAAGCGGCGCTGTGCAGACCGATCGGTGTATGACATCAAAGTACCGCGAGAGCGATTCGAAAGCATTCGGAGCTTTATTTATGGTAATTATCACACGCATGAACGCAGCATTAGGCTACACCTCGAATGTTTAGAGATGGGGTTAGGGCGGACCTTCATGCTCACATTTTTTTTTTCTAATAATTGTAGGCTACATTTTTGTACTATGTAGGAATTCATACAAAATCGCCAACTCTTATAAGTTTTCCCATTAGATCAAGTTGAATTTACTGTAGGCTAAAGGCAGCTGTGGTTGTCAGACCTTTACCGTAAAAAGCAGGCTATGGCAGCAACATTTTAGATTTACGGATTACAGTAACATTAACAGTAA